CGTCGWGCCATCGCTGGTGGAGTATTTGATTCCGGTCTCGGGTTTTGTTAACTAATATTATATATAATAGTAATAAAACATTAATATAATATATTATAATATGAGCGGAGACTTCTGTATCAGTGCAGTGTGGCGATTGTTTTAAATATACAACGTCCATTAAATGAGGGTACCTATAATAAGGATTAATATTGTGTTTCACAAGTATGTATAAGTCGTACAATTAATATTTGATTTGATTTTATAGTTTCTGTCTGCAGCTATATTGTATAGTGTGTGCGTCACTGCAGAGATAAATCCTCGTTAAAAGTGGTTGGAATATATATTGTTACATTATGCGCATCTCGTCATGCATTATTATATTATTACCTATATGTATATAATACAAGTATATTATGTTAAAACATTACGTGTAAAACGCAACACAAATTTACACACAATATATAATATTATATATATACGGTCGTGGCCGTACGTCCTTTGGGAGTGAGCGAGATAAATCGTTTCGCGTTAATAAAACGCCGTTTGGTGCTATCGAGTGCGTAAAAAAAATTTAACGACGCCTCTTATTATTATAATTTGCCCTCGCGAAATGACTACCGTTTTGGGGTGCATATATATGGTACGTAGCTCCGTCATTGGTCGAAACGGTCCCAGAAGGGCACTCGAAAAATATTCCCCTCGTTACGCACACGTATATATATATATATAACCATAAGTAGGTACGCGTCCCCTCCGCGGGCCGAAAAGAATAACAACTAATTTACACGAGTGTTATTTTATACGCGATCGTATTGTGTATAACTGTATAAGACAATCCAATTGGATTACGCGTAAAGGGGTGATGGTTATAGCCTTATAGGTTAGGGAGCTGGTATTTTTATTTTTTTTTTTGTCCAGCTAAAGTTTTTGTTTGTAATGGACGTGCGTACAGGGTGTTTACTATAATATAATTTTAAAAGATATATAAAAAAGTACACCTATACATAATAGTATATAATAACACTACCATATTATATCCATGAATAATAACARAAAATATTGTTTCATATATAGGTAATATTATAAAATACATTATATTGTGCGAGTAAATTGCCTTCATTGGTTACATTGCAAGATAATATAYATCACATRTACCGATATACCAATACCTAATTACCCGCAACAAAATACCGTTGAATAAGAAATCGGCTTAAGAGGACGTTACACCCGCTGTGTTGTCTCCGTCTTACAAGTGCGTAACATAGCAAAATCTGTTTAGCGCGGGACTACTGTTCTCCCTCAATATTTATAATAGAATTTTCAAAATTTCACAACGCATAGGTAAAAACTTTATCTGTGTCAAWGCGCCATTATTTTTTTGATAGCACAAACCAATTATTTTAAGTAATTTAATGAAAAAATAAATGTATTTTCTTAAGATTATAACTTTAATTATATTTATGTTATCAAAAAAATAACGATGCTATGACACAGATAAAGTTCTTACCTATGCGTTGTGAAATTTTGAAAATTCTATTATAAATATTGAGGGAGAACAGTTGTCCCGCGCTAAACAGATTTTGCTATGTTATACCGTTTGTAAGACGGAGACAACACATGCGGGTGTGGCGTCCTCTTAACATAATATTGCCTCTAAACGCGCCGTACATAATATATATAATGTAATCATCATCAACGAGCTAAAGTCTGATCTCTATTGCGGGTAATCAAATTTATAATAAATAATTTTATAGTGTTTCTTTTTTTATTATTTTCAGAACGTATTTCTGGCATCCGATAATTATGCGTTTTATCAATAGCTATAGACTATAATACGTCGATACTTTAATATATAATACATAAGAATACTATGCGATAAACATACGAGATTAGTGGGGTACTTAGAGCATGATGATGGTAAATATTATGTATATAATGAATATAAGTAAACATTTAATTAGGCAACATCCAATTTAGATTTTATGGTCCACTTTTTTATGATGACATATTACATTACACTAAAATGAAAAAATGTTCTAACATTTTGTAACCAATTAGTACAGTTGTATTAAAGAGATAAAAAAAAATCATATACGATTTAATTACAGATGATTGGCCATAATAACGCGGTAATTATGTATAATATATATTTATTATCTTATATTATTACATGTACCTACTATGGGTCCGTGTAGACGTAACAAGGTTTATATATAGCCGGCAAAAATGATTAAAAACGCATTTTCATTTCGAGAACAATTTTATCTAAACCGTTATTTAACAATGCTGTTTAACACCCTCTTGTCAAACAACAAGTGACGAGAGTGGAAGCGGAATGGCGGCCATTATGATTTCTTTTCATCCCTCCGCACGATTAGCGAGTAGGTACCCGTTTAATCTGACTCCCATAATAATATATTATATCCGTCGCAAATATTTATAATCCTTTCAAAAGGTTAACTGGAAAACGACGCTGCTGGTATAATGCTATTATATGATATAAATATAATAAGTGTGAGTGTGATGTGTGAATATACGTACGCGAGTAGATGTTTTAATGCCTAAACTTCTAGATGATGTGTTTTTTTCAATAAGTATTTTTTTTTATTGCGCATTTTGCTTTATATGAAAAATATTATATTCGCATCGTAGTCGTGTTGACAACAGACAATGATCACCGACATCGGAGTGGTATCAAAACATTATCTCCCATTGTACACGCTTAACGTCAAAAAATAATAATATAACGACCCATCAACTAATTTCAGACGTACACAATCCGATTAAACATAATAGCAGWGGGTACACAATTCACATATTATGTATTTAATATTTATATATAGCATATAGAATATAAATCTATGTGGTGCGGGTGGATAAGTCATAATAATAATATAGTACCTATATAATTTATTTTACTTATATTTAATTAATAATATAAAATNGGGAGAACAGTTGTCCCGCGCTAAACAGATTTTGCTATGTTATACCGTTTGTAAGACGGAGACAACACATGCGGGTGTGGCGTCCTCTTAACATAATATTGCCTCTAAACGCGCCGTACATAATATATATAATGTAATCATCATCAACGAGCTAAAGTCTGATCTCTATTGCGGGTAATCAAATTTATAATAAATAATTTTATAGTGTTTCTTTTTTTATTATTTTCAGAACGTATTTCTGGCATCCGATAATTATGCGTTTTATCAATAGCTATAGACTATAATACGTCGATACTTTAATATATAATACATAAGAATACTATGCGATAAACATACGAGATTAGTGGGGTACTTAGAGCATGATGATGGTAAATATTATGTATATAATGAATATAAGTAAACATTTAATTAGGCAACATCCAATTTAGATTTTATGGTCCACTTTTTTATGATGACATATTACATTACACTAAAATGAAAAAATGTTCTAACATTTTGTAACCAATTAGTACAGTTGTATTAAAGAGATAAAAAAAAATCATATACGATTTAATTACAGATGATTGGCCATAATAACGCGGTAATTATGTATAATATAYMTWTATTWWYTWWTWTWWWTWMWTRYAYSTACTATGGGTCCGTGTAGACGTAACAAGGTTTATATATAGCCGGCAAAAATGATTAAAAACGCATTTTCATTTCGAGAACAATTTTATCTAAACCGTTATTTAACAATGCTGTTTAACACCCTCTTGTCAAACAACAAGTGACGAGAGTGGAAGCGGAATGGCGGCCATTATGATTTCTTTTCATCCCTCCGCACGATTAGCGAGTAGGTACCCGTTTAATCTGACTCCCATAATAATATATTATATCCGTCGCAAATATTTATAATCCTTTCAAAAGGTTAACTGGAAAACGACGCTGCTGGTATAATGCTATTATATGATATAAATATAATAAGTGTGAGTGTGATGTGTGAATATACGTACGCGAGTAGATGTTTTAATGCCTAAACTTCTAGATGATGTGTTTTTTTCAATAAGTATTTTTTTTTATTGCGCATTTTGCTTTATATGAAAAATATTATATTCGCATCGTAGTCGTGTTGACAACAGACAATGATCACCGACATCGGAGTGGTATCAAAACATTATCTCCCATTGTACACGCTTAACGTCAAAAAATAATAATATAACGACCCATCAACTAATTTCAGACGTACACAATCCGATTAAACATAATAGCAGWGGGTACACAATTCACATATTATGTATTTAATATTTATATATAGCATATAGAATATAAATCTATGTGGTGCGGGTGGATAAGTCATAATAATAATATAGTACCTACCTATAATTTATTTTACTTATATTTAATTAATAATATAAAATAACAGTATTGTTGTATAGAAAAGAATTTAAATATTATATTATACTACAATACCTATATAATATATTTTGTACCTATATTACCTATATGAATTATATTCATATATTTTTTCGACACAAAATTTAAATATTGTAAATACGATATTGTACCTATATGACCTACATCATATAAATTGGCTATTGTAAATTCAATAAGATGAGATTGATGAAAAGGATAAAATATTTATCAGGTAACGGAAAAACGATTTTAATATTTTGATGAAATAACACGTTATATATTTATATACAAAATAATTACTAAAATGACGATGAGAAATCTAAATAAATTATCTTTTCTGTAACTATATTATAATCTGTGTATTTAAAAATAAACAGACAACGTCAAAATACAACATGACAGCTCACCGAAAACAAAATTAAAATGTCTACGGTTGTCAGACAAATAATAAAATATAATTAGGTATATCAACGAATACCAAAAATTATAAAACAAATAGCGCATCAGTATAGATATACGAGAGATGGCTCGACCTCGACTTATGAAAAAAAATGTGTGGTATTAAATACAGGTATCTATAGGTTATAATTATAATAGGTAATTTTTAATTTTTAATTAGTAAAAATATGCTTATTGTAATGAATAGTTTAATATATTATACAAACATATAATGACACTCACCTGTGTTTCGGTTAAACTCAGCGATTGGGCCAACTGTTTTCTTTCGGCGCCAACGACGTAATGGTTTTTCTCAAAAGCGTGTTCCAATTTAAGTAGTTGACTGGGGCTGAAAGCGGTCCTTATTCTTTTGGGTTTTCTGAAGGGTTGTAATAAAAATCCTGGTATGTCTGGACCTGTTACAAGGAAATAAAAAAAAAGGTTTAATTTAGTRTTCGTAGAAAGAATAATAAGCGGAATCAGTTTGCTAGACGCGTTTATCATAATAATAGTAATAATATTATTATTATATTATGTGGCTGCAGTGTTGTTTGTTTGTAGGATATTACGCTTTGCTTTTATAACACCATTTCCCGACGACCGACAGAACACAGTTGCATAAAATTGTTATTAATGGTTGTTAAGATAATCGGATGTCAGGAGCGTATAAGGATTGTGTCACGAAGACGACACGGCATGGGGTCAATACCGAAAATCCTTGCGCCTGATAACATTGTACCCACTCTAATTTGAAAGCCAACAGTGATAAAATATTCAACGGTGGTGTCAAATAAATTTATTTTCGAAACTTGTTTGGAATATATTATTATAACGAGACAGGGGCCTACGAGTCCAATATTATATCTCCCCTCCACCCACCACACTCACATATATTATATATAATATATGAACATTAATACATATGTGTGCGCGCGTGTGTGTGCGTGTGTGTTAACAGCTTCATTAGAATATACAATTGGACAATGCAGTTTGTTATATAAATTAAACATAATATATTAATCAGTGTAGGCGACTATACTTCAATAATATTGTCTTGCTATGTACCAGCAGGCTATATACCTATTATAAAGTATTCCAATCGTCGCGGTCTCCCCGCCGTTTTTCTATTAAATTGTTTTTCCTACTATCCTGCACACGGTGACTCATAGACAAATTAGATGAGTACCTACCTATCTTTTTATTTAGGCGTGCGGTAGGCATAGTTGTATTGTTGTATACTTGTATATTCATACGTAAGCATTTAAAGTACTAATAAGTGTGTCATTATTTGAGAAAAACAGTTAAATAATATTGCAATCATTAAATGAATGAAAAGTTATTTCACATTCATATCGATCGTCTACATCAGGGGCGTACCCGTGAATTTTTCAGTTCGGTTCAAATTTTTTTAACATGTAAAAAGTATGAGTTTATGAGAGCAAGAGATCGATAAGGAGGGAATATTTTGTAGTGTTGATCGGATTATGTACCGCCAACTCTGTTAGTCAACRATATTATAGAAACAAAAGTCTTAACCTTAAGAATTTAAAATTCTTTCAGTCAATGGAGGGTAGGGTGGTCTCAGACATTCCCTCCCCCCTTGTTAACCACTGCTCTACATGATATTATTATTATTTATTATATAAATTGGTAAGATTAATAAAAATCATAGTAAAATATGTACCGAACGTAAATCGTAATTCAGCACCCAAGAATATAATAGTATCGAAATAATATTATATAATTATCTTATGTGATTTACTCGTTGGTCACGGTGTCACCATTGTTGTTAACATTTTATTACATCGTGTTCGTCTGATTTCCATAAGAATTATCGTGAAAACTGTCGGGTTATCAAGCACAGCTCGTATTCGAAATATATTCATTACTATGAGTCATTACTCACAACACATCGCTCATAACAGTCATTATACCAATTCTTATACATATTATTATAAAATCATATTCATATACACCGAACGTATTAATAATATATAATTATTATAGTTAGACATGGCCAAATCAAATCTCAAATACGAATAATAATTCATAATATGTTATGATAATTATAATATAATGAATAACTGTTTGATTACGTTTTTTATGCGGGCCGAGCATAATACAACAAAATTGTACTAACCGAACAGACCTACTGTATGTGATCAAAGTACTATACCAGAAAAGAAACATTTAAAAAAAGTGTTTGCTGTTTAGGTAAAAATAATTTTCTAGAAATATATAAAAACATTCAACAATGACCGTTTGGTAAAAACCATACAACGAATATGATATAATTTAAATAGTATGAAACACATTTGCGTATATTATAGTACTATAATTTTGAACTATTTTAGTATGAAACGATACGTAAAACACGATTGTTAAAAATTATATTATATTTAAGTAATATTAATATTATCTGTGTCGTCCGATTATTGACGGCATTCGTCGTTCGAAATAAAAAGGTTGCTTATTGTTGCTGCTGTACCTATTGTTGTATATTAGCGCGTACTATTATTTTATCGTTCACGCAACGCGTCAACGCGTCGAGTAGGAAGGTGTACCTATAGTAGGTACCTACCACACTGTGTGCACAACAATAAAAATAACGTAAAATCGTAGTAATAATGCATATTATAATACTTTACATATACCATGCGTACCTATACACGTCTTAAAGGCAACAGTTGGTAATCTAAACATAATATATACCCATAGGCTGTAGGTAATACGGATTGACCGTTTAACTCTTATTATAACAAACATTGTGCAGACGGTGCAGATAATACAATATATAATATATATTATKTAATACTACGTGTTTGGAATATTATGAAACACACGCATATTATAATCTACAATAATGCATGTTGTTATATACCTAATAATGTGCGTCTGATATACAGAAAATAATTTAAATATATTACAATGTTTTAATGTTGAATAATATAATATATTATATAGACGGTGGTAATTTTTTAACGCTGTTGATTTTAAATTTTTATTTTACAACGATTTTCACACATKATTTTATCGTTGGTGTGTAAGTCGCACGCAATAAATATCATAATTACAGGAAACAATTTGTTTTTAACCGAAAAATTACATGACGTTTTACAAACCGTGCGCATGCCTCCACTCCATCCCGCCACAAACGCTAAATCCCATATTCAAAACTATTATATTATACTCCACCTCAGAAAATTATACGACCGAAACATATTATGTATCTACACACACGCGTGCGCGCGGCTAGTCTGGTTCGGACGATTATTACCATAATTATTATATTATTCTCATTTTAGACAAACGCGTCCGGTAATTTAAACGTTAATTGCCGGTTTTTACTGTATTGTAACGAGAAACACACTAGATCACTATATATATATATATATCGCGTATTGTTATATAAGTGAACAGTATAATATACATAAAAATGATTATTATTTTTTTGTAATGTTATCTGGCTTAGGACTAATAAGAAGCTGTCCGTATATGTAAAATGGATTTAAAAAAAAGAAACGCTTTTGGGAAGTTTATCATTATTATTATTATTATTTTGTATCCACCTCAATTGTTTGAAATTAATTGGCACCGCCTCTACGGACGACGACGGGACCACCTATATCTTCCTACGCGAACGCGCGCGCGCAATGTACAGACACAKAACTATGTATAATATACCTAATGATACATAAACAATAATCGATATAGGTTTATACAGGTGGGTCATCATGTTATGTATTGAGAAACGGGAAAAAACGACGACCGTCGCCAATAGACCTACATCATTCCATAATATTAAGTTTATCGTATATCCTATAGTCATCGAAAAAAAATATTCTGAAACCATAATTGAAATTTATTTGAAGTTTACTTGAGGAGTATTTACAATTTATTAAAATGTTTATATTGTTAAACCTCCAAAAATATTGGAACTAGTAGAACAATTGTAATACGTTAATAATATTGAACTAAAAAATGTAATTATAAAATAGAAAGAAGCCAACAGTTTATACAAGTTAWYTTTAGGACAAATTCAAATATTATATGTTGTCAGAAGTTATATTTGATCATTATTACATAGGATAGTCATTAGTCGATGCGATTGGAGCAAGCGATAGGTACATATTATTATACCCTCATCATCCTCATTGTAATAAATTATAAAACAATAAAGTAATAACACGCGCATTTGGATTTTTGATGCGGTCTGCCGTGGTTAATTGCGTGGTGCAGATATACCTAGATATACACAAAAAATATCTCCATCAACAATCAACATAATAAAATACAATATAAATAATGTAGATTTAGGTGCAACGTCTGCACGGTAATTAATAATTAGAGGCGCCTGATAACGATATTTCGTCGGGTTGATAAGACAGCTGGACATGTCATCGCGTGTGTACGGCGAGCGGATAAGATCGCGGAGATAATTATACGGTTACACATACATAATATAATGATATAGGCAGCAATTTAACATACCTTCCTATTTATTATATCGAAGACGTACGCCATCTGTTGGCCGATAAATGCGTAAACCTACTTATAGGCCTCGGGTATAGGTTACCAATATATATAGTACGCGCTTACATATATTATAGGTATATCGTATATATATATATGAATACACTTAATACGTATTTACGTTTTATTATATTGTTTTGACAATGGCAATTTACATTTTGTTTTTCACTTTTGTTCCACTACTAATTTATCGCTGTTAATTAACCGTCACGCCCGCACGGCCGACCCAAAACAACCACAAGACGGCACAATTAATAACCGCGGGCSGCGCGACGTTAATTTTTTATTTATTCTTTTTTTTTCTACTTCTCTTCTCCGATAATATATACACTCCACCTCTGCCAACCCGAACACTGTCCCCCCGGGCCCGATAACGTGTATACACCAGGTATATAGGTATTAAACATAATAATGGATATACATACATACATATTATATAGCTATAATCAATATTATATAAAAGCAGTGCTGCACGAGAATTCCGAAAGCTGACCTATTGTATATTTTGTAAAATAAAACTTGTTAAACACCACCCTTAAGGCGCATTCGTATATCGTATGTGTATAATTCAGTAGCTCAACCGGTCGATAACGCGTCAAATTCGGTGGGCAAGACAAATTCTATACTGGAAACCCACGCAAGAAATTTACAAAACCGTGTTATTTTATATTTTTATGTTATTATATATAATATCGTTTATAACATGATATACATAAACATAATAAATGCGGCGTATTTCCTAATATAATAATAATACTTCACTGATTTTCAGCTGCCGGCAAACAATTATTTTCGTCAACACGATTTTAAACGCGCTCCTACCTACCAATACATATTATATATAATATGGCCGTACACTAATAGCCTAACTGGCTACTGCAAA